CTTAACTTTCCCATGGCGATGCTCTTGATGCCCCGGTTTGGTCTGGTTTTGTCTTTAGAGAGAATGGTTAAGATGAAAGCTGCAGCTCCATCCGCCTGCCTCAAACTCCCCATCCTGTTCACACTTTCCCCTGCTCCCTTTCAAAAGCACTTAAGCCTTGGGAGCAGCATCCCAGCAGGATCCAGGGAACTGACTGGTGTCTGCTCAGCTGCAGTTTCTGCTTCCACTGGATGCAGCTGGAGGGAATTGGGAGCAGCCACTAACATGGAGAGAAGGTGATTAAAGTGAGCTCCTTTCCCTGCTAGTTCTGGAGGAGAAGCTGGTCTGACTGCTGGGAAGAGTAGCATGAGGGCTATGACTTGGGATTTGCTTGAGTCTCTGAAGCGAATTGAAATTCTAAGTGTATTTGATGCTGAGCATCTTTTTTGCTTAATAGAATACATTATTCTCAGTGCAGGTGAGCATTTTGCTCCATCTCCAGTGTGTGGGTCAAGTGTTTTTTATAGTGGCAATAATTGTGGCTGCTCTTTACCCACTCATGGGTGATCTTTTATCTTCCTGTGTTGTCTGAGGCGAGAGATTTGATTCTTGTCTCAGTTTAACAGCTGAATTTCTCAGCTCCTAGAAAACATACATTGAAAGGCACTCTGCATCTGGCCTGCTTTGCCAGTCCCTGATGGTGTTGTGCTTTATCAGCTGGAGTGCTAAAATCTTCAGGATAGGTGAGATTCATCTTAATTTTAGATATTCAATACTTTGAGGCTGAAGTCTGACCTGCTCACCCTGGGCTCCTTGTACAGTCAATGATGAAAATAGGTATCTGCAGAAGGTGATTCATCTCCCTGCCGTCTACCTCGGGGGCAAGACGAATTGCCCTCTGGAAGCGCCTGCTTCCTCTCCATGGCTGTAAAGGGAGCCTAGAGCAATTGGCTCTGAATTAGACACCTAAAAGTTAGACATCTAAGCCCAGGCAGCTGCATCCCCTGCCTGGTGTCTGCCTGGCACTGTTCCTCCATCGCCGTTCAGCTGTTCCGAATTTCCCTCCTAGATGCACGCGGCACAAAACTGATTCCCTGTGGGAATTCCCCAACACCTGTTCAAGATTGAAATCACCTTTTAATTCCCTGTCCCTCTGTGCAGCTGAGATCAAACCGTGGGGTGAATTAAGTGTGGGGTTGGGTGGGAAGGGGTATAAGGTTAGCCTTCTGGTTTCAGCCCTGTTTTTGTCACGGGGTGAGAAGCCACGGGCGGTTGTCACTCCCTATAGGTGACATCTGCATGTTCCTGCATGTGTTTACCTGGCAAAGATGAAGGCGCATTGCAATCCTGATTTTACTTTTCTCCCGTTCCGGTGCTCTTATCCTCAAGCGCTGGACTGGCTCAGCAGCTTCCAGTGGGAATCGTGTCGGTTCTGATAGAGCACTTGCTTGTCTTTGGTTTTCAGAGCAAGCACCGCATTCCAGGCGGGGGGAATGGCAGCGGGTGAGGTGGGGGGGGAGCTGTCCGGAACTGTTCTGCTGCTCCCATCCCCAGAGAAACCTCCCCAGGCAAACTCGCACCAGATCTGATGCCAGTGCTATGCAAAACAGCTGCCAGGTGAACCAAGGAGAGCAGCAGAGTCCTTGCCTGCTGTGCTGAGCTTATCGCTGCCTTTTTCCCTCCCCTGTCCAGAACACATGTAAAGAGGGCAATGAAGGCTTCTTTGATGGGGAACCTGCTGGGAACCGCAGTGCAAGGGGTTCGGAGTGATCCTTCTCCATTTAAATGCCAGGGCTTCCCCTGCTTGGTGGAATTTAAGGAAGCGAGGACTGCACCTAGCAGATATTTTGGATCCATTGTGCCTGGCTGGTGTAGCAAGAGGCAAGTTGCTGGCTGGTGTGAAGCTCCATTAACAGTAGTGGAGTCCTGGCAGTTTACAGCAGCAGAGAATCTGCTGCCGCTTACACGCTTTCCTTTCTTTTTATCTCCTGGAGCTAGAAAAGATTAAATCTTAAGTGCAGATCCTCATTGTTTGAAGAGCCTGCTCCTTTAAGGAGAGAAATGACTGCTTCAGTGCGAGTCCTGAGGTGGATGGAAACTGTGAGAAAACGAGTCTAATTTGATGATATTTGTAAGAAATTTTACTGATCTAAGAGAAAGAGCAGAATTGTTGTCCCCACTGCACCCAAACCTTGGCTTGCAGCTGGAATCCCTTCAGTTTTGCTCAAACTCAAGCTTTTACTGAAATAGACGAAGACAAGATTTGTTTGCAAATAAATCTGTGCACAAACACTTCTGCTGAAACATTGAAGACATTTGTGTATCCAGCTGCTATTTACATAACCACTGGGAACAGAAATAACCTCGCCCCGTTTTAAGTATCTCACTATTGGACATCTAAGGCTGAACTAGTTGCCCCTGGGTCCCTTTGTAGTCAATGGAGAGAAATAGTCATCTCCAGAGGGCCATTCATCTCAGCTTAAGATAGGCGTCTAAGATAGGTCAAATGAATGGCCTCTGGAGGTGCCTATTTCTTCTTGCTGTCTACCAAGACAGCCTGGGGCAGTTATCTCAGACTTAGACGCCCAAGCTGCGACTGAGTTAATGTCATTCTCCATGCATATTTGCAATAGGCTTCACTGTCACAGAATACCTGGCTGAGATGCTCCCAAACACCCCTGGTGATCTGCAGTGGGATGTGCAAGAGAGCAGAGGGTAGGACTTGCAGGAAGCTGTGTCTGGCCTTGTAGGAGAACAAGGGAAAAAGAAAGGCAGAAGCCTGTCAGCTGCACATGCTGGTGATGGGAGGAAAAAGTAAGAGATGGGAAGGCTGGAAGAGGAGGAAACAATACGCAGGAGAACTTGGATGTGGTGTTAGCAGTGCAGAGCAATGCATCTCTGTTCCAGCTGTGTGTCTCAAGTTCCAAGGTTTGGGGGTGTACGATAGTGACTCAGAGCCATCAGCACTGGCACCTAGGGATTAACCTCAAGGTCTTTGGATCTTGCCTCATCAAAGCGCTGCATTTGAACACGAGCAAAACTCTTGTATCCGAGAAACCAGAAGATAACCTTTTCCTTCCTGTTCTGCTTTAGCGCCTGGGAACTTTGTTTCCTCCTTCTCTTCTTCTTGCCTTTCTTCCCTTTAGCTACAGCCTCTAGATTGCATCAACCCGCCGAGGGTTTCAAAGGTAGAAACTGCAGGCCTTGAAGATCCTCACACCGTCCTGCTCAGGTGTGTGGATACTGATTGCGATCATCTATTAACGCTATCAGCATTCCCATCGTTCTGTGTGCAGTTGTTGGCTCTTGGGGCGTAGAGCTGGAACGCAATGAATGAACCGATTCCCCCGGCAGGAGCAGCTGGAGAAGGGTGGTCAGGGAGCAGATGGTTACGGTGAGAGGCATGGAAGCGCAGGGCAAGTTGGAGGTTGTAGCAGAGTAGGGAATTACATGGAAGGAGATAAAGACCTGAGACTGGGAAGAGGAAAAGCTTTGAGAAGCAGGTCTGGAGGAAGCCAGGAAGTGAGGGCAGGCTCTAGCACAGCAGAAATGCAGACAGGCTGGGGGAGAAGGTGCAGAGCTGGATCTAGGTTGAGTTGCAGATGATGAGAAGATAGAGGAGATTTCAGAGCTGGGGGGGAAACAGCTTGTTCTGCCATGAAATAGTGCTGTGGTGTTGCTTGGAGGAGAAGAGCTACAGCTCAGCCTCACAAGAGCAACAAAGGCAGTTCAGCTTCCACAGTCAACGCTGCTAACACGTTGAAGATTACATCTCCAGAGCTGTTTCTAGATAGCAGAGAACAGGGTGCCATGAAATCGTTATGGTTTGACTCTAAAACATTTTGCCATCTAATAATTGCACCAAGCATGCTCCCCCTCAGGGTCAAAAAGAGCCATGCTGACTTGCCTGGGAATATTGTATATGGTGCAAGCTGGAAAACTGTGTGCTAATATAGGACAGAGGCTTGTTCCATTGAAGAAAGCAAGTCAGTGGGAGCGCTGGATTTGCACCCCTGCCTTCACAAGCTCTATTAACCACTTTCCAACTTTGTGCAAGCGAGAAATGAACTCCCGAAAAAACATGATGTGTTGAAGCTTGATCAGATCACAGGGCATGGGCTATGCTTTATGGGGAACGTTATACCCAAAGAGCAGAAGGAAGAGGCCCTGGGGGCTTGTGCCTGTGGGATGTGAGCAATTTCAGGCTGTTTACCACCAGCTCAGTTGGATTAGAAGAGAATGACTTAGGGAATGGATTGCAAAGGGAAGGGGTTTCTTGGGGTTGCCTTTGCAACTAAAGAGGCTTCGTGGAATCCCTTAAAGCATTCATATCTATGGAGCATACAACTTTTCCTCTGTGATATTCTTGATGAATTTGGCAGGTGTGATGGAAGGGGGGGGGGAATGTTTATCATCAAAGGGGAATGAGTGAGGGCCTGTGCGGTACCTTCAGGCTGAAACCTGTCTGATTTTTTCCCCCTGTGCCTGCCAATCTCTCTTGGAATCAAGGAGACGCCTCTTGAGCACAACCCCACGGCACCCTCTGTTCCTTTAGATATCCCGTAATTACTCAGTGCCACATGGGTTCCCGAAGATCCCTGTTCACAGCCTCGGCCACCTGTTTGCTAGCTTCTCCCACAGTCGATTCTTCTTTTATGTACAGTGCCATGGCCATGGATTTCCCTGGGTATTTGTATCGTCCTCCAGCTCACCTCTGCTGGAATCTCCCTTGCAGTCAGTGAGCTTTCCCCCACCCTCACTGCTTGGCCAGGTATCTCCGGGGCAGAAGCTCTTCTGTTTAACTTCAGCAAAGGCTGATACCTCCAAACGTTGCAAAAGCTGCCTTTGTATTTCCATTGCTGCCTTCGCGTTGATTCCACCTTCCTCCTCCTCCTCCTCTCCTTGCTCTTACAGCAAACTGAGCTGGGCCAGCCGTGTGTCTTTGATTATGTGTGTTGTAAGTCGGGGAAAGTTATATCAGTGCTGTCATTAATCCTGAGATATCTGTTTGTTTCTTGTAGGGAACGAACAGAATGGGCTGGACTTTAACAGGCAGGTAAGACGCTCCCTGGTATTCTCCTGCTTTCTTGCCTTATTGTTTTTTAATTGCTCATCTTGCTGAGTCTCAGGCAGCTACTGCTAAGAGATAAAACTGTTAGGTCAGAAGCTACCATTAAAGAGACCACATAAATTCTTCGCAATTCCCCTTGTGGGATAGGATGACAGATTAAACTCCTGGTTTCCAGGCCTTCCTATTTCACAGAAGTTCAGTTAATTATAGAGTTTCTTTAAATCACCATTTGCTTCAGGCTTTTTCTGGCTTTTTAATTTTTCCCATTGTCATTTAGAAACCAAAGGGACCTCAGTTACACTGGCAAACGTGCAAATCCCACCCCAAAACCCCATGCGTTTCCACTGTTTGTGACAGTGGCGCTGAAAGCGCTGTGGTATGTGAGCCTAAGAGCACAGGGCTGACTCACAGGAGTATCAGCAAGGACTGAAGAGGAGGTGGTTTGAGGTCTTGGAGTGCACAGGTCAAGACCAGGCCTGCCTCCAATGACAGATTCCTCTATGTAAGACAGTGGGGAAAGGGACAGCAGATAAAAGGAAGTGTTTCTTGCAGGGCAAGCGAGCCCTAATTGCAAGCAAACATGTCAGGGACCGTTGTCTTTGCTGTGGTCGTTGTTATCCTCCTGTTTCATACAGCTGAAAGCAACCCCTGTCTCCTTGAATGCAAAGGCTTCCTACTCGCAGCAGATGGGCAGCTGAAGCTTCTCACTGTGACTTCTCTGTCCTTCCAGCTTGCCTTGGTGGCTCTGGTCTGACAGATGTCAGCAAGCTGCTGTTTGTTTGTTTGGTTTGGCTGCTCTTGGCTTTGGGTGGGTCGGAACTTCCTATCAAAGGTGTCTTAACACGTTCAGCCATCTTCCAGGTTTTTGGAATACCGAGCTGAAAACAAAAAGACTTGTGTCTCCAGCTCTGGGGATTGCAGAGCCCAGAGCACAGGCTTTCTGCACGCCAAGAGCGGAATCCAATCTGCTTATAAGTAGTGATAAAAGAAAATTCCCCCAAGACAGAAATAAGCCATGAAAGTAGAAGATCGCTGCATACTGCAAACTTTTCCTATGGCAGCACCACAAAGATGTTAGAACTGGAAGCTGGGCTGAGGTTAATCAAGGAAACGTTATTGACTGTGGTGAAGCAGTGCTGATTTACAACCGCTGATGATCTGACCCGTTGTTAGAGGTCCTAGTCCTCTGCATGTCACTGAGTGAGCAGATGGGGCAGACAGCTTCAGTAGGGTCTGGGCCAGACTCAGCTTCATAGAAATGTCCACCTCCCAAAAAGAGATTGGGGTTTTGTGACAGCCTTTTGTAGCATCCACTTCTTCTCCCCTTCCACCACAAGGGTGCTACAAACTCCCTTTCATTTGTGCCTGGTTGTGTCACTGAGCATCAAACTTGACTGGCGACCTATTGAGGTTTGAAAAGCAGAAGCCTGTGAGAAAGCTTATTTTAATGTTGTGTTCTTGTGTTGTTTGGGGTTTTTCTTTAATCTGGTTTGATTCCCCACATGAAGCGTTCTTCCAGCCATGCCAGGGCTCGGGTTGTAACAGTCCATGCGAGTGGACGCAGGCAGGAGCAAGCAAGGCCATGGGTAGACTTGAGCCATTATGATTACAGCTACTTGAAATGAGCAGGAGCCCAGATGCACATGGGTTATACACTCACGTTTCGGGTTAACCTCAGCTATTGGTGAATTCATCTTCAATTCACCAAGCAAATTTCAAGTGCCGAGAAAGAGGAAGAGGGGAGACATGGAAATCTCAGAGTGTTTTTGTGTGAGATCAGGTGCTGAGCTCTTTGATTAGGGGGTGGAGGTTGGTGGGGTTTTAATTTTGGTTTGGGGTTTGAGGTCGGTTTTGGGTGGCTTTCTTCTTTTTGTTACCTTGCAATTCAAGTTCTCAAACTGAAGCCCAAGAAGTATGGTTTGAAACCCAACTGCAACCCGAATGCAAGAGCTGCTGAGCTCTCTTTGACTTTATTTGGAGTGCTGGGCGCTAATCCCTTTGAAGATCATAAATCTCACATCGTTTAAGCCTCTCCCCCAGTCTTTGTAGATGGCCTACATTTCAGGTCTGTTTCCCTCCCATGTTACGCTCCAGGCGGGAAGAGAAGGGTGGAGTGACCTGGTTAGACCCCTTACTTGCCTACCAATTCCCTGCTGTGGCTGCTCTCACCCTGAAAATGGGGAGGAGGGAAACTCTTGTGGAGTTTGAGGTTTTCAGGCAGTTTGTGGGTCAGCCCTGTGCTTTATGAGAAAGCTGCCTTCTGATCCCTCAACCTATTTGGCAAACGTTTCTTCCCCCCCACCCCTCCACTCTTCAACCTCTCCTCCCACCTGGATGCAACAGTAATTTGTATGTGAATGAGAGGGAAAGGGGTGTGTGTGAAAAAAGCAGCATCTTCTGCCTTGCCTATCTGGTTTGGCTTTTCATTTAGCGAGTCTAATGCTGTTTGTTTCCTGTTTATATCAAGGGAAATGCAAAGAGATAGTAATAAACTTTCACCTTCAGTGCTGGCAACCTGGAGAGGGCCATCTGCTTCTCAATGGTTTGGGATCGTGTCCAGAGCATGTCAGGAACAGAGCTGAGGAACTCGGAGATTTACTCAGAGTCTTGCCATGAAAGGACATTGTGTGGGACCAGGGGAAGGTCGGACTGAAAGTGTTGAAACAAGAACTTTTCCCTGCTCTAATGTGGTGATGCCGCTGCGGTCTGGTTTGGTTTATCTCCCCATTGGTATATGCAGTGTTGAGCCTTTAAGGAAACAGTGCATTGTTTGTTTTTGTAGGCTGCTCTGAAGAGAGCTGTTCTAGAGACCCAGGTAATTCATCTTGTGCCCGCAGTTCATATTGCCTTCTGGAATACGCATACGGAGCTAAAGATGATGGTTTTGGGAGACGACAGGGCTTGTGTGCACGGTAGCCCAGCACATAGTGCTGTGCATCGGTCTGCAGCTGGAGGAGGAAAATACACAGATGCTGAATCACTGACTTCTTTTCCACTAGGAAGTGATGTGTAGGATCGTGTCACCTGTCGGTCCTTGCAGCAATGCAGTCTCCGAGAGGAGAGCTAGGGAGGAGCAAAGGCTTGGATCTCCCCTACTTCCAAAGAAGGGAATGAGAGGTGCTCTCCAAGCCCCTTCATGCTCTCAAACACTGTGTTGGAAGAGAATGCCTGCCCTGAAATCAAGCTGACAGGTTATGTGTGGCCAGGGCAGGAAAGGTTTAGCAGGATGTGCATGTGCTCTGTATCCAAATGTGTCGTGCAATTTCATTCCAGCAAAAGGCTACCCCTTGCAGACAGGCTATCATTTGTTTAATGCTAATGACAGGTTTGATATTTGTATCAATGTGAAGGTGATCCTGTGTGAGGCTTTACCGTATTTAAGACAGACAAGCAGGCGTTAATGTGCTTGGCTAGTCCAGGGCTGGGCTTAGCACAGCTTGAATCTTCCTGTTGTTTCTCTCCTCCTATTAGTTTATTGTCTTCAATTTGCACCAGTTAGGGGATTTAAGAGGGATGTACATCTCTTTCCCACAGGTTTCCTAGAAGTAGGATCTTAGGATGGATTTACCTGGGGGAAGTAGGTAGCTTGGAGACGTCTTGCTGGGGCAGGAGGGGTCTTCAGAACGCAAACAGAAGCATCCTGAACAAAATAAGAAAAGAGGATATGCAATTGAAGTGGCCTCGTGTTTCTTACACACATTAGCTCAGCACTTAGTTTTGCACATGGGGTAGCAGTGAGTTGTCTCAGGTCTTCATAGCTGATGTCCTGTAGAAGCATGATATGAGAAATCAGAGTGGGCGAACTGCACCTGAGATGTAAACTCACTGGTGGCTCTTTTTCAGTGCCATTACTAACACTCTGCCCCTGTTTGGTACTTTCCACCCACACGTCTGAAGGTTCTTTGCTGGTGAATTGAGAATCCCGGTGCCTCTGAAGGTAGGGAGGTGTCTAAGCCTGCCTTACAGATGAAGCAGACACAGACTGACTACCTGGCTTTTCCCAAAGATGCTGAGTACTGCGATTGCTGTTGAAATCAATGGATGCTTTATAGGAGAGTTGCCTGTGGACATTAAGGTGTATTGTAATCCAGGGACCTGCTCCTTAGCAGTGCTGGGACATGGACTCTGATTCTCTGATTCATAGTCTTGTGCTCAACCACAGACAAGTTCTTCCTCCCCTCCATCCTTTTGAAGGTGGAAAGAAGGGCCTAACTTGCTAGGTAGTTTGTTATTAATATCTGGGATGCAAAACTCCCTGCAGATTTAATTTTGCTCAATCAGGGCTTCCCTTCCCCCAGGGATCTCTCTCAGTTTTTCATTCCACTTTGTGTTCCCACCTCCCCCTAATCTCATTTGTTCCCTAGATGTCATTTCTGTTCCTGCTTGGCTTTTCCCTGTGGGTAGTTCAGGTTTCAGTCTGCCCTCCAGATTTCCATCCCAGTCCTGTTTTGCCCTCCTCTCAAGGGGAGGTTCACATCCTGCTTCCTTCTCCCCTCTGGGGATCAATTCAGATTTCACTCTCTCTTCTTCTCTGCATCGCCTCGGGGTATCAGCCTAAGCCTTGCATCTGTTTTTCATCTCTTGAGCCTTCATGAACTGGAAATCAGCCCGGCTGCCCCATGTCTGCCTTGACTGACACTGCAGCTAAGCTGAACACTACCTTGGCCTTTCCCTTTTGAAGTCTCCTTGCTCTGTCCTAGGGACAGACTGATTGCATAAATTTGTATGTGTGTTCTGGTTCTTCATTGAAATGCAGCCCTTTGGGAAAGCATCAGAGAAAGCCCTGGCTTGAGGGAAAGTCCTCTGTTTCTATATATGGCACTGTTTTGCTTAGGACAGATATGTAAAAGAACCCCTTCTTCAAGCTAGTTTTGTTCTGGTGCCTTGCAGAGGCCCTCAGATGAGATGGCTGGGAATGAACTCCAAAACAGGCCACTGAGTCTCTAGGGAAGCTTATGAGGGAAAGGGGGATGGAAGTAGGAAGG